CTTATGTTTAAATTAACAAGTGTTTTGCTTGACAGGAACACGGCAAAATGTTTTATTATCGCGAAAGATAAAATTACTACATTTACTTGCATTTTCTATGTATGTGTAATTATAGTATGCATATTAGCAACGCCGCGACGTATTTTTAGTTCAATCAAAGACAACAAGTTTGGTGATAATTGAATATGGTTTTATATTAAAATGCAAATTAATAAGATTGAGAGACACTTCACTGTCAACAAAATCTAAGAACCAAGATTTTAATTAAGAATAGATGACATGCAGAGAACATGAATCAGAATAGATTGGATTACTATGACATATATCACATATTTCATGAAAAAATAGAATGCCTTTTGCACTTTTAAACTAGATAGGAAAATGTCTTAGCCCTTCTGTAAAGTTTACCAAGCTGATCTGACAATAAAATTAGAGACATTAAGATTTCAGAACGAGTGGACCAAGTTTTGGATGGCGATGTTTTTATATTTCCATCACAGTTGAAATAAATCATGGATGTCTAGAATATACTAAACAATGTTTTTAATTAATTCTTCCCATTTTCTCCCCTGTGGCATCCACAGCAAAAAAAGATAGTTACATAAACACAAAACGCGCTAGCATATTGTCATTATGATAAAACCATCTTGTTAATCGCTAATCATTTCGAAGGATTTTTGAGGATAGAAATTTCGAGTGACAATGATACACCTTCAGTCCTAAACCAGGAGCAGTTTTATGATATCCAAGCACAAACGGAGTTATGATATTCAAACATAAAGTATTTTGTACACTCTGACTCGATATATTACGTGGCCTTCATAATTTTGTTTCAGACGAGACACAATATGTAAAGGACGATTAAAGATCAATGAAGAAGCGAGACACCATGCATTAATCCTAAAGTTTGTGTTTACAAAAGGCGAGGGTCTATTGTTTCATTTTTCCCAGCTGCTCCTAGTCAGATTTCAATAAATATTTAAAATTTACACTCAACATTTCCATCTACAAATCCTTCACGCTGTATGCACGAGGGAAATTTTGCTGCAATATGGAACGCAATTTCCGACAAAGCACGACGGTACTGTATGTTAAAAATATTAACATGAAATCAGTGAGAATGGAAAACATTTCACTCTTCTGATATTTTAATTTTCAGTCATTTAATTATAATGCCTCGTTAGTAGCTATGTATGACGGAAAAGGTCGGTAGCGGGAGAGTAAAAATTCGGCGGAGAAAAAAGCGGGGTAAGTTCTCAATTTTACTGTGCAGTTTTTACATAATACGACTCCGTGCCTTGCGTTACAACGTTGCAGTCAAAATTGCCTCGTGTGTCTTATACTGCATGTGTACAAAATACCCTGGGAGACTCGGGTCCAATCCTTGGTCGAACCTCTTCTCAAGGTCTAAAAATGACTGAGGAGAAAGAGCTGCATTTACATTGACACTGACAGTATAAACGTTAGACTTTCGCGTCTTCTCGGATAAGGACGTTAAATCGTAGAATACCCTAACAATTGACCAATAGCCTGTTGGGAATACACTCCCCCAATGAGTGAGAAACTAAATAAACTCAAAATTAAATCGCAACAAGTTTTTGCGGCAATGGAGGCAAAACTTTTCTTAAGAATTTTGATCAAGATTACTGATATATGTGATATATAAAAAAAATGTGAAAGAAAATAAAAAAGCGGAAACCAAATCAAGGTGTTATACTGTTTAATTTTGGTAAGGGCCGCACGACTATAAGAAACATTTGCACAAAAAGAAATTTACAGGTTTATAACTAAATTTTATAGCTTCAGCTCAGACAGTAGTATTTGCAGTCTTGGTATACATGTTCAGCAAACTTTTGACTGTAGATCTAAATTTCTTCATCCCCAAAAAATATATATAGGGATTGAGACAAGAATTTAAGAACGTAAAGGACATCAGCCAGCGCCATGTTACACGTTTTGATGTCTTAGTTATAGTATCATCAACATGTGTTATAATTCTATACACAGAATATGGCATGAACGTCGCGTAAAATAGACATACAATGCAAAACGTAGTGTAAGCACTTTTCCTATAATGCAAAGTGAATGATGAGTCGGAATCTGCATTCCTATAGCTTGTCTGGAGCAAAAATGCAGACTTAACTTGCTTTCTTGCAGCCTTAAGTATTACAGTGTAAATTATCGACATTGCAACCATATGTCCAATGGATAAGCATGATAGAGAAAACTCGTAGTTTTTATGAATATTCAGCAGCACTCTTTTGTAACTCAAATAATGTCCAACACTAAGAATCAGTGCTGTACTCCAAGCTAGTGTTACTCCAAACCAAACTACTTTACCAGTAACCAAAACATGATATCTCAACGAACGAGTAATGGCTATAAATCTATCAATGCCAATAAGAAGAATCGCGTTCCCAGTGTTCAAGATACAAAAGACAAATAAGGAAGTGTAATATTTCGAATCATTAGTTGTTCTTCGTATATGTAGAAGATACGTTCTCCAAGGTAAATATGTTGTCAAAGCAACGAAATCAGCCACAGCCAAATTTAAAGTCAGTTTATCGGACACACTGTTGTGTTGATGTCTTTTCGTCAAGAAGAATATGATTTCAAATATATTCGCTATGGATCCGAAGACGATTTGAAGAGAATTAAAGATCACAAGGAATGTCGCTTCTTTTGAAGTGAGAAGAAGATTTTCCTTCTGTTGTGTACTATTGTATAACATGTTATGCCTATATCTTCAAATTTTGTCCCGCACACTTTGTTTCTCAAACGTCAGATGTTCCCTCAAAGGACTGTAGAGTTGCTTAATATTCTCAACACTCGAGGTTGAAGGAAAGATGAATAAATCCTTTTCACTGACGATACGCTCCCTTCGGATGACGGTATATTCCTAGTTCCCGATGTTTCCTCGACTGAATTGAAAGCCCTATTATACATACAGTAATTTAAAGGTGAGAAAATACAGCACGTGGCTTCTTTCTCACTGATATTTTGTCAAGTTGCCAGATATACTCAACAAGCAATACTGAAGACAACAAGGTATGCAGTACTTTCTCTTTATATGCAGTATTCTGTTATCTAATTTGATTCCTAACAGCAGATGTTCATTGAACAGATAGGTCTATAACGTGGGCGCGAGTATATAATTCGCAAAGTTGACTTTCGAGGACACTTGGTTTCTTTTCCACTGAGAATGGTATCTTCCTATTGACGCACACATGTAGATCTTATCGAGGAAGTGAACTTTGTCCAGATGGATTGTCCAAATTGCAGATAATAAATCCGGCAATATACAGGTCGATATCGAAACAAATTAAAGATGATAAGAATCATAGCTTTTCTCGAACTGAGAACGAATTGGTTCTCGCGAGCGATGATCCGAACAGGGATATTATTTTCTAATTATGAAAATGAGAGTTCGACATTTCGTGTGATATAAACTCTGCCCAGCTTGACTTTTCGTACTCATGCAGATGCCACTTTTGTCGGGCCGTAGGGAGGCCGGATATTAGCAATGTTCAATATTGATAGCGCTAATTCTTAAATGTCAACACTAACAACAGTGCACTTTAATAAACAATCATGGAAAACCAAAGTAATGTTGGGAAATAATATTATTTAAATGTTCAATTACAATCGCAAGTAAAAAATATTTGAAAAGTAACGGATTTTAGCATCGACTATAAATTCATTGTAGCATGTGGCCTGTTATTCACAAATTTTCATCCAATTTTACATTTTAAACCTTTTTGTATTAGAAATTACCTGGAACATCGGCCCGTCGACTACTGGAAGTAATCAAAGTACTGTAGTAGTTTAAATTTATGCTTAGCATTCAACAACGCATTAATTAATATTCATAACAAGAAAACATTACTAATTTAGAGTCAGTCCAAAATTGATAAGAAAGAAAAGATACAGTGCAGTATAGTGTCGAATTTGCAGCCAATTTATATATAACACAGTTAAATTTACTTTTTAAACTACAAAGTGGTATATTACACGACGACTGAGTTTCATATAATACAATATTCACCGAGGTATAATGCTTCCTATTTGCGTGTTCGGCCGCCGCAATAGCAGTGACCTTATTGTGCCATAGACTATATTAGCCAACCCGCGCATTAATATTTAACTCAAACCTTAGAGTTATACAATACCGTAAACTCAAACCTAATTAGCCATCCTATAGGTGGTTTGAACCCTCGATTGCAACAAAATAATACAAAATAACGTATGTTTTTTTAATACAATGACATTTTGTTTCTGCTCACTGATGAAAACTGTTTAGGGGGCAGTTTCAATATGCACGCGGCTAGCAGGTCTGGCCCAATAGATCTTTCCCCTTTTTAGTGAAATTTTGATCTAGACAAGTGTGGACAATCACAGTTTGAAAGAGCATCACAAAATTAGTAATATTCCGAAGTTTCGTTGCGAAATGTTGTAAAATGCGGATAATATAGCCTTGCGAATTTTGCCGTTTTTCAGTCATTTTGTATTACAAATGGGAAATTGATAATCAGTTTGATCAACTGATTATCAATTTCCCGTTTGTAATACAAAATGACTGAAAAACGGCAAACTTCGCAAGGCTATATTATCCGCATTTTACAACATTTCGCAACGAAACTTCGGAATATTACTAATTTTGTGATGCTCTTTCAAGCTGTGATGAAATTTTTGTCCAGGCGTATCTAGATCAAAATTTCACTCATAAGGGAAAAGGTCTATTTGCTAGGCTGGAAATTTACAGTAGGAAGCCAATTTGCGTGGTGGGGAAAGAATTAGACATTAGACAAGTTAAGATACTCCCGTTCCGGTTTACGGGTACAAGTGTCGCCATTTTGTTTACCAATGTTTACTGATGTCAGCATGTTTACTCGTAATTTCTACCCGAAAGTTTCACGAGACGTAAAAGACAAATGGGTACGGGTGTGTTCTGTTTACTATTTGTGGGCCGTTGAAGTAAAAATACTTCAACATTTTACCTGAATCACTCACGTATGCTCGTCAATTTTTCCCTGATCAATGGTGGACTTCATTTACGGGTACGGATACGTGTATATCACGTGTAGCCGTCAACCGGAACCGGGGTATATTGATTAAACGTTCTATTAGTAGGAAATCGGTGGTAATAATGCAGCCGCATTATATAGTTACCAAAGTCATGTTTTTTTCAAGCATTTTGAAAGGTCCAACTAACACATTCATAACAAATTGTGTACAAGTTACAGTACGAAACAAAACCTGTGGTTAATTTGCGTCCAGACAACAGATTTTTTTATCAGAACCAGGAAACTAAAACTTCAGATCAGGCTGTCGAATTCTAACCTCCATCTCCTCATTTTGCGCATGTTTTTTCAACATGTCCATCACCTTATTGTCATATTTCTGAGGTGTTTCCTTAACTCCAGTCATCCAGTAATAAATATCCCAGTCATTGGACGGTTCATTGATAAGAGTGTCATATTGATTCAATAACTCATCACTCAGAGTTTTCAGGAATTTGTCAGCAAATGTACTGAAACAAAAGAAATTAGAGGATGCGAGGTTATACAATAGGTTCGATCACAGCCTGGAATTTCAGAGTTGATAAAGTAAGCGGCTGTGGAGAGTGGGACGGTCTATGGAGTCTTAAAGTCATGCAAACTAACTAATAACTATAGCGTATGATGATTAGATACCAACACGACTAAGTTCTGTAACCAAATTATAATGTACAGTATCACTACTTTTATTCTACAACAAGAAAACTTCAAGATTTAAGATGGCAAATACCTAAATCATTTTTATGAAATAGTACGTCGTTTTCGAAAATAACAAAGTAGACCAGCTTGGGGAACAAATAACTTTGTTTGAAAGCTAAGAGTGGAGAAAGGAGAGCAGAATTGATATTTCAAGTACTATAAACAAAGCAACTGGCGGTAAATCTCGCGACACCCACGGAGCTTCGGCGGCCGCCGGCGTATTTTTAAAAGCCCTGCAAATACATGTAGGAAAATACAGTAATATACTGGCACGGTAGCAACAGTATGTATAACAGTTTTTCGTATTAATTCCGCACCATTAATGCATGCATTACCAGCAAGGGAGTACAACTATGTATCACAAGTTTGTGTATCACAAGCCTAACACAATTATCACATAACTATCACAAGCCTAACATATCTAAGTATCACAAGCCTGACACATCTAAGTATCACAAGCCTGAAATAACTATCACAAGCCTGACATATCTAAGTATCACAAGCCTAACATATCTAAATATCACAAGCCTGACATAACTATCACAAGCCTGAGGTAACTATCACAAGTCTGACATACATGTAACTATCAAAGCCTGACATATCTAAGTATCACAAGCCTGACATATCTAAATATCACAAGCCTGACATATCCAAGTATCACAAGCCTGACATATCTAAATATCACAAGCCTGACATAACTATCACAAGCCTGACATACATGTAACTATCACAAGCCTGACATATCTAAGTATCACAAGCCTGACATATCTAAATATCACAAGCCTGACATAACTATCACAAGTCTGACATATACATGTAACTATCATAAGCCTGACATATCTAAATATCACAAGCCTGACATATCTAAATATCACAAGCCTGACATAACTATCACAAGCCTGACATAACTCACAAGCCTGATAGAGCTATCACAAACCTCAAGGCTGTTGAGAGACATGTTGAATAAAAGACAATGGTGCACACTAAGGGAGGGGGGGGGGGGGCAGCCACAGTAGATGACTAACTGTGCAACAAAGCTATCAATAATACTTTTTCAACCATGAAAGCAGTAGTACAGTAGGCTATAAATGGTGCCATACACTACATTACATTACATGAAATCTAAAGCCATCAAGTATTTCCAGCAACAATTTGCGGTCACATAGGGTGTTAGACTTGCTCCAAGTCTCTCTTTCATTGTCATATCGATCCACTATAGTGTACATTACATGACGTAGCACGGAGAGGCGGAGCGAGAAAGAGAGACTTGTCAACTTCGGAAAATCTCGGTTCAAAACTGAACCGAAAATGCAAGACTTGCTTTAATTGTTTTCCTTCAATTTCTTTCTGTATTTACTATAATGGAACTCATGTTATTTACACTGTGCTAGATCGATACATATAAACACTGAGAGAAAACAATTAAAGCAAGTCTTGCATTTTCGGTTCAGTTTTGAACCGAGATTTTCCGATCTCGCTTCGCCCCTCCGTGATACGTCATGTAATGTACACTATAGTGGATCGATACTATATGACAATGAAAGAGAGACTTGGAGCAAGTCTAATAGTATGTTGGCAACCTAATTCTAGAGCACTATGTCTATAAACGGTTTTAGAATCAATAGAATGGACATTCAATGTCTATTTGGCTAGTGCCCAAATGTGCAACGTTTGCTGTAAAACCACCAAGGCACTACGACCAACACAGTCGCTTTTGAGACCTCTATTTAACAAAATTTATACCGTTTCCATATGACAACAATTCAATCATGGCATATTATAAGAATATTATAAATATCTGAACCAGAGGCAGAACAGAAGCGTACAGTACGCGTGAAATGAAACTGCACCCGAACCCCGAGAGAATAAAAGGGAAATATTTCAAAGCATATGATCATACTTTTTATTGCTTGATTTCCTGATTTGTCTGTTGCCATAAGAATCTGCCGTTTAGCATGTTTGTATAATTTAAAAGCAAACAGAAACCAATGTAGCAAGTATTTTGAAGTATATATGATTCTCAAAGATAATTGTACAGAACGGCCACTCCTTGCAATCGAAGTGTGAAGTGGCTATCAATTTTCTGTGGGTCATGTGACCAGCTCCGATCCAGGGTCTTTCCTCCACAAGAGGGAAGAGCCTGGGAATGAGGTTGGGTCTTAGCTAGAAGGCAGGGTCTTAGCTAGAAGGCAGGATCTTAGCTAGAAGGCAGGATCTTAGCTAGAAGGCAGGGTTAGATTAGATTAGATTAGATTAGAGACTTTCGAGATTGCAAGCTTTTTCAGCAGAGTTTTGTGATTTATAAGGTCGAATGCCTTTTTAAAGTCAATAAATGTCAAACATGTAACCTTATCGTCATCCATGTTAAAAAGGAGTTCATCGACAAGGTTTATTAATGCTGTCTCTGTCGAGTGGTTAGCACGAAAACCTGACTGGAATTTATAGAGAAGGTTATGATCTTGGAGGTACATACTTGTAGAACGATGTGGCCACATGTTTTTCAAGCACTTTAGAGATAACAGGAAGTATCGAAATCGGACGGTAATTATCTGCATCATCACGAGATCCACTTTTATGTAGGGGTGTTACTTTCGCGGTTTTCCATTTGATAGGAAAAGTACCCGATGATATGGAGTAATTCATAAGGCGGCAAAAAGGTTGAGTCAATACCGGTGCTGCTAACTTTAGTATTCTAGCACTTAGGCCATCACAGCCAGTGGATTTGTTAGTTGACATGCTATTCAATGCAGCCAGTACCTGTGTTGACGTAATCGGTGGTATTTCAAAACAATCCTTACCAATCTTTAGCTTTACAAAATCGACTAATTTTTCCCCATCAAATTCGGCATTATTTTGATTGCCTTGACTGATTCTAGAGGCAATATTAATAAAAGCGTCATTCATTGCTTCAGCAATTTCGGCTTTATCTTTTACTACCGCATCATTGACCTTTAATTCATCTATTGTTATTGGATTACTTTTCTTCCCACTTAACGATTTTAGCACTTTCCAAATTCCCTTAGGATTTCCTTGATTATTTTCTATTGATTCTTGAATAAATTGTCGTTTAGAGAATTTAATCATATTTGTAGTTTTGCATCTGGCATGTTTATACAAAGCCCAGTCGGCCGGGATGTTTGACTTACGAGCTTTTTTCAGTAAATTGTCTCTATTTCGAATTGAATTCATGATTTCATCGCTCATCCATGCTGGTTGATTTTGCTTTTTGACACGCTTGTGATTCAATGGCATATACATATCAACAACTTCAATAAGCATTTTTTCTATGGAATCAGCAATATCGTTAATGTCGTCAAACACAAAAGCCGAGTCCCACGCGGTACACTCGAGTGATTTAACAAACTCATCAGCATTTAAGTTTTTAAAGTTGCGGTATTTGATGGTATTATGCAGTTGTTTACTAGATCTCTTTGCTTTCGAATATTTACGCTGAATAATTAACGGCAGATGATCTGAAAGGCCGATATCCAAAACTGAAATGCCAACAGTGAACTCAGGATGAGTTGTATAGTAATGATCAAGACATGTTGCACTTGCTGGTCTTGTGACAGAATTTACCATTTGACTGAGCTTCATACTATGCATAGCTTTTGCAAGGTGATGCTTCTTATAAGATAAATCGAGATAGTTAATATTGAAATCACCAAGAATATGCATTTCATAATTTTTCAAATAGGCATTTTCAATGTTATTTTCAAGCTTTATATCAGTATCTGCATTAGACGAGGGAGGACGGTATACGGCGCCAGCTAGTAAAGCTCTGTTAGATGAATATGGACAAATACTTAACCACATGATTTCAACATTTTCATCTTCTAAATCATAAAGCCTGTTCGCTTTTAACTGACTGTTTACATAAGCTAATATTCCTCCGCCTTTTTTATTACCCGCCCTGTCTTTTCTATACATTGAATAACCAGGAATTTCGTAAACCAAGCCCGATACATTAATTGGGTTTTAGGAATGTCTCGATAAGAAACATCACGTCGATATTGTGCGAAGTCAAAAATAGTTTTATCTGTTCAAACTTTACGTCAGTAAGGTTATTTACGTTCCACTCACCAATCTTCAGACTCTTGTTTGAAGAATTCATTATTGGGTGATTTACGACCCTTCGACTTTGTTCATTTCCAGAGGTATTAGTATCTGGGCCAGGATTTAATTCTACATCTCCACTGGTTATTAGTTGCCGTTCCAATTGATACCCACAACAACCATTTGTTGAGTATGGAATTCTGCTTAACATATATCGCTTCCCAGGGCCGTTCTTTGCCATTGGTATTGATATCTGCGAAGCTTGAGAGAGATTTTTAGTCTTTAATATCCATTCACATCTATCGAGTGGAAGTACACTGGTGATAGCCATGCCTTTTGTCGACTCCACATTATGAACATCGTCAGCAAAATAGATCAATGAAGCAGTCACAAGTACAAGTAAAGTTATAAAATCACTACCAAACATGCACGAGCCACCCGCCATGTTGTCTAGTTGCTTTTGTTGCTTTTGTTGCCATGTTGTCTAGTTGCATCTAGTTGCCAAGCTTCGTGGTAATTAGAAGAGTTAAATTTGACTGCTTTTTGTTTCAAGTAGAATTTATGATGCGCAAGGTTTTTTATTTCGTTTGTCATCCAAGGACAGTGCTCACTTTTAACTTTCCGAATCCGAAGTGGAGCATGCATATTTGCAATATCAAGAAAAATAGTTTTCCATACCTCCCACGCATGATTTGGGTCGGCATAATTATAGAGGTTGTAGTGTCTTTGAAATGCCATTTTTAAGTCGTATTGAAATGCAGATGAATTAAAGTATTTAAACTGCCTTGTTTCTACAATTTTTGGTTCAGCCCTTGGTATTCCTACTTTGCGGCAAATGTACACTAAACTGTGATCACTCAGTCCTAAATGTATCACTCCAGAGTCTATAATTTTGGTATCGCTTGCTTTAGTCATTATTATGTCAATTAATGTTTTAGATGTTGTCGTTATTCTAGTCGGACTTGTAATGTGTTGCTTTAGCTGAAACTCATTTATCAGATCGGATAACCTTTTTGTATGATGAGTGGGACTGTTTGCCATCATATCGCAGTTTAAGTCGCCAGTGATAATAATATCAATATTTGTATCATCTAGTTTTCGCAGTAACGTTTCGAAGTCGTTTAATATGCTAGTGTTAGAATTTGGTGGACGATACCATGTAACAATTAAGAGTGGTTTTGACTTAGGTTTTTGAATTTCGAGACAAATAGATTCTAAGTTGTCTGGAATGAATTCGATATGGTTTTTATAACTAATGATACTTCTTATATAAATTGCTACACCTCCACCATTTCGATCTCGGTCTCGTCTTACAATATCATAACCTGGTATCTTAATAATAATATTGTCATTTATTGTATTGTCTAATCTAGTTTCGTTTATGCAAAGAATGTCGAATGATATTTCCTTCATGAATAATTTAAGCTCATCCATGTGTTTCGGCAAACTAGTAATGTTTAAAGGGTATGGGCAATGAAAATTGCTTTATCTATCTTATTGCTTCATCTGAAAGAGCATGAAAAAATAAGCCGATTGGCCGTTTACTGCTCTATTCTATCTCATCTGGTTCCGAAGTTATACGCAAAAATGTGCAAAATACAATACTATCTTTGGAAAATGCAGGGACAGCTTGGAGCACATGCATGTTTAGGATGTTTACTGTATTATGTGACTATGTCTGTGCTGCACAATGTTGACTCATCTATATGTATAATTTTTTTTTTCTAACTTGATCATTTTCCAAACCATATTAACTTTGGAAAGTGTAAAGATGGGTTGGAACGCATTGATCGTGTGCTGTAATTTTGTATTGTAGCTTTGTTAAAGTTGTAACCTGTTCTATTGTTTTACAATGTCAGTGTAATGTGTAGGTAGGACTTGATTTGGGACTCCTCAGTCCTGTTGTCTGTACCTTCAATCGTTTTATTGATTGTAAAGTTTATAAATTAAATTAAATTAAAATATAAATTGCTGATTCAGCACAATGTGTGACGTCATAAGCGGGGTAAGTATGTTTATTGAATAGTAAACTAAAGCATAGCTGAGTTATTATTGGCTCAAATCAAATGAAATTTTGCATACAGATAGTACATGATGAGACGCATGGGAAAATACTTCTAATTTCGTTGTCAAGGCAACACAGTCGTTCCCAGGCCCCTTACACTGATTTTGAATAACTAGTTGCATTTCTCTATGTGTATGTCATTTTCGAATTATTATCATGCAAGTAAACTTTCGGCATGCATAGGTATCGTACACATACTTCTGATATTATTTTATTTTTATCAGTACCTTGAATAAAGCTGTTTTATAAAAATGGTGCAAGGGGCCTGGGAACGACATTGTTACCTTGGCAACAAAATTAGAAGTGTTTTTCCATGCGTCTCATCATGTACAATCAGTGTCCAAAATTACATTTGATTTGGGCCCATAATAACTGAGCTATGCTTCAGTGTAGTATTCAATAAACATACTTACCCCGCTAATGACGTCACACATTGTGCTGAATCAGCAATTTATATTTTGCACATTTTTGCGTATAACTTCGGAACTAGATGAGATAGAATAGAGCATTAAACGGCCAATCGGCTTACTCTTTCATGCTCTTTCAGACAAAGCAATAAGATAGAGGAAGCAATTTTCATTGCCCATACCCTTTAAGTGGCCAATTTTAAAACCCTTTAGTTTTGGATAAGACTTATTAATTTGGAAAGGAATTTTTGAGCTTTTCGAGGTGCAGCGTGCTGGACTATCGGAAATATCCTTGTCGACTATATTATTATCGCTGTGTCTTATGTCATTATTATTGTCGTTACCTAGTCAATTCCTATTAAGAAATTGCTTTATGTTTTTTGCTAAGACTGATGTACCCTGCTTATTTAAATGCAGTCCGTAGTTATTTAAATGGTTTACGTCAATATTATAATAATATTATTATTGTGCCTGATAAGACACCAATTTCGTTCTATACATAGTTGGGCTAATCCCTTGTTATATTCGTTTACCTTATCAGCCCATGATTTATCGTCATTTCTTGTTATGATTTCTGATAAAACTAATTCTATATTCCTGTTTTCTCGAGTAATGCTCTCTCCTGCAAGCTTTTGTACATGTGTCAACAATTCGTCTGGCGTCATTCTCTGTAGATCATTGGTTCCGACGTGTAAAATAAGCTTATTTGGTGCCGTGAGTAACGTTGGTTTTACATAGTGATTCATTTGTTTTATTCCCGCACCGGGAAATGTTTTTACAACAATGTTATGCTTCATTCCTTGTTGAATTCGTCCCGCGTTTATTTGTTTAAGTATAGAATCGCCCAAAATAGCAACTCTTGATTGTCCTACGCGCGGAGATCTGCGAGAATCTTGGGCTCGCTCGTTGTTGTTGTTATTTCGGTCGTTGTCTGCTTGTTGTTTTCTAGGCGCAGAATAGTTACGTCTTTTGTCTTCATTGGACCTGATGGTGTGTCTGGGTGGTTCAGATTGATTTCTATTCTTAGGTAATTGACTTTGAGATAATATGTTAATCTCGTTGTCACTTTCATCAACTAAAACAGAATATTGATTATCTGTCTTGGCTAGTCCATTGTGACTTTTTCCCCAGAGTTTTGTCCACGTTGTGTGCTTTCATTCTGATTTGGCTTACGATTTTTAACAACATTCCATGACCATGTACTTTGTTTATTTGTATTGCAATCATTTTGTACAATTTTGATTGCTGTTATTAAACTTTTCTGTTCATCTTCCAGTTGTTTAACTTTCGTGTGTAAGTCCGATGCAATACACTTATAGTTATTGACTTGGTCCGATAGTATGTCGATTTCTTGCTTCAGTTTGCCATTTTCTTTAATTAAGGAATTTCGGTCTTCACTGATAGTTTCTTCTGTTGTTTTGGACTGTCGAATTTCCTGCAAAAGCTCATCGAATTTGTTTACAAAACACAGTTCAAGGTCTCGTATACTGTCGAGTACTTTGTTGTAGTTCGATGTCTCATGTGAATTTATTTCGATATGACTGTTTTCGGTCGAGGCTGTATTTACGCCGTCTCCCTCCCTGTCGCCATTTCCTTCACTGACAAAAGCGTTTGATAACTCGGTTTCTTTACCAGCTAGGTTGGCCATTATTCGCAACCGAGAGTTTATTTCTTCGACTTCGTCTTGCTCCCCTTTAATAATTAAAGAGTAATTGTTTGAATACCACCGCATTTCGAAGTTGTCCATCTCTAGCAGCTTACAATGACCACCAGGCGATGACCATTTTGTCTGTGTCTCGAGCAATTCGTTCATCAGTATTTCGAGATTCTCGAAAGAACCTGTCCATCTGAGTTTTCCTTTTTCAGTAATATTAAGATGTTGCCCGCTCACTAAATTCTCGATCTATTCCATAATTCAAGTATTAAAACAGTAGAAAGCACAATTTATTTCGTAAAACAATGCGAACATTAATAACAACGTGGTTGACTAATCGCCATCTTGAAAATCTGTTTGTCTGTCCTTTCTCGTTACTATGGTAACTGTCACAACTGCATGACGCAATAGTTCCTATTTAACTAATGTTACATGACGTATTGCTAATGGGCATCCTACACTCACCCCTCCTATAATTTAAGCTGTCCTTATTATCTTTATATAGCCCAACATTTAACGCTATAGTCTGTACTCATCTTGGCTACTTCTTGGTCAACTGTGTGGGTTGATCAGACTCACAAATATTGAACGTAGACAGTAATCTAAACTAAGTGTTTCTTTATCTTTTCGGGCCCCGCTTTCACTTCTTGTTGGTCAGGAACTTTTCCTGGAACTTTAACTCTTGTAAAGTTTTATTGTTTCTGTTTTCTAACAGTCATTATTCGCAACATGATGGCAATTTCAACAATTTTCGTTTTCTGATTTCGTGACTCTTGATATCAGTGTCTAACACCATATGTTTGATGGCATAATTGGTCCTTGCCAACTTGACCAATATAATGGAAATACAGGTAATGACATGGGAAGTATTGGGGGAAAGAACGGTATTGGGGGAAAGAACGGTATTGGAGGTGTCGGGAGCACAGGGTATTGGTGTAGATACATGTTGTTTGTGGCAGGTGCATGGACCGCGTTAATACTGGTCCAATGTTCCGTTGGTTGGCCCAGATTGCCATATCCCAGTCTGGTTGGTGGTCGTCGTACTCGTTGTGAACTAACTGGGTGTGAATCAACTTGTGTCTCAGCCTCTGCTGCTACCGTGGTACCAGTCGCCGCTTGACTCTCTTGAGCTAGTTCTTCTGGTGTGGCACCTTCTTGTACAGCTTCCTCAACACTCTGCTGGGCTTCATTTTCAACCGACACTGGCACGAATTCATCCTCTGGGTCTGTCCGCGTTGATTGAGGTGCAAACGTAGCAATCTCGAACTCGTCTTCACTATCTGTCAGATAATCTTGTGTGACCTGTTTCTCCTTCTCACTCTTCTTTTTCTTGTTTAACTGAGCTGGTTTCACAATAGGATTCTCCACAGGAAGATACGTACATGGAAATAGCATGTTTCTATGCAGTACTCTTGTCTTCTCTCCGCCACTCTCAGGAATGACTTCATACACGGGAATCTCATTTGATTTCTGACGCACGATTTTGTAAACTTTGTCTTCCCAATACGACCGTAACTTGCCGGGACCACCCCTTTCTTTCACATTTCGTATTAACACACGATCACCGGGTTGTAGACTCGTACTCTTAGCTTTCTTGTCATATTGCACTTTCCCACTCGTAGCGTTCTTTTCTGCCTTTTCAGATGCAAGTTGGTATGCTTCGGACATCGATTCTCGCCATTTCTTGACATATTCAGGATAAGTGCTATGGCCAGGTGGGGGTTTCAGACCGTACATAAGGTCAATTGGCAATCGCGGGGGTCTGCCAAAGAGTAGGAGGAATGGGGAGTATCCTGTCGCGTCATTTCTGGTACAATTGAATGCATGTACGACTTTCTGGAGATGATCACGCCAACGACTTTTGTATTTTTCTGGCAAGGACCGAAGCATTGACAAGAGCGTTCTATTAAATCGTTCAACTTGCCCATTACCTTCGGGGTGATAAGGGGTTGTCCGAGAGTGTTTAATTCCGCTTACTTTTTCCAGGTTAAAGAAAAGTTTATTCTCGAACTCAGCCCTTGGTCGTGGTGTATCCTCTCAGGGAAGCCATAGCGCAAGATAAAGTCGTTATAGAGTTTGTCTGCAGCGGTCTTGGCTGATTTGTCACGAGTCGCGTAAGCTTGAGCATACCTCGTAAAGTGGTCCATAACAACCAGGATGTATTGATAGCCTCCTACGCTTGTTTCGAGGTGAAGGTAGTCGATAGAGACCATTTGGAAGGGTGCGGTGGTTACGATTGGATGTAATGGTTCACGTTGGTTTCTTACGGGTTTCCGACTCTTTAAGCAATGACAGACTTTCGTGACGTAGTGAGTTATATCTTGTTTCATGTGAGGCCAAAAAAATCGTTCTCGAGCCAAGTCAATGACGCGTTCAGAACCCAAATGACCCATTTCTTCATGCAACTCTTTATAAACTTGTTGACGTAGACGTCCAGGTAGTACAACTTGACGGACTGTTCCTGCTAGTCGGTACAGAACTCCATCAGTCCCCACTTTTAACTTATTCCATTCTCTTAACAGCTGCTGTACAGTGTGGCTTTCCTGCTTTCTTTCATGAGGAGACAAATACGTGTTCGCTATTTTAAGTGTTATGACGCGGTCAATATCTGCGTCGTCATTCTGTGCTGTCTTCAAATTTATAGATGCTTGGTTTAAACTAACATCCGCTCGAGTAATCTCAGGAGGAAAGAGCAAAGGTGTTTGAAACTGTTCGACCTGTACTTTTGCTCCACAAACAGTCGCTTGGAAAGCGTCGCGATTAACCTCTTCACTGCATGTTTTCATATAATCGTCAATATTCATAGGCATTCTGGACAATGCATCGGCGTCTCCATTGAGTTTTCCTGGACGATAACGGATGTTGAACTTAAAGTCGGCCAGTTCTCCAATCCATCTTAAGCCTGTGGCATTAAGTCGTGCAGATGTTAAAACGTATGTTAATGGATTGTTATCGGTATAAACCGTAAATTCAGGCGCGTAATATAAATAATCACGGAAGTGGTCGGTGATTGCCCATTTGAGTGCCAGAAATTCTAATTTTCCTGCGTGGAGGTGATAGTTCTTTTCTGCATTCGTCAGACTCCGAGAGGCGTACGCAATGACTCGCATTGTCTCTTCCTGTTCCTGGTATAAGACAGCACCTAGACCGTCTTTCGAGGCATCAGTGTGCACGATGTAGGGTTTTTGATAATCTGGATATGCCATAACCGGAGGTGTTATCAGATGGTCAATGAGTTTCTCTAACACAGTCTGATGTATCTCAGTCCACGCGATTTTGAATGATGATGGTACTTGACCTTTCTTTCTGGTGTTTTTGTTACCTTTCTCTTGATCATGACACGGGTCTGTTGTTGCTGCTTGTGTAACAAGGTCGTATAATGGTTTAGCCTTTCGCGCGAAATTGGGTACATAACGACGATAGTAACTGAGTAATCCAAGCATTTTCCGAAGATCTCCTATTGTATGAGGAGTATTGTTCTTTAGACTCGCAACTGCGTTAATGTTCTCGGGATCCATTCTGTAGCCATCTTTCGACACTACTCGACCGAGGAATGTGACTTCACGTTTGAACAATTTACATTTTCTTTGCTTTAATTTGACACCGTGTTCTCTTAGGCGACGTAAAACTGTTCGTAAGTGTTCGACATGTTCGTCGAATGTTCTACTAAATACGATCACATCATCCAAATAAGGAATGGCAATTTCATCACGTAATTCTCCTAAACACTGTTCCATGAACCTCTGAAAACTTGCTGGGGCGTTCATAAGACCGAATGGAATTCTTACCCATTCATATAACCCCCAGGGTGTCACAAATGCTGTTAACGGTCGGCAGGATGGTTTCACAAATCCTTGATGATACGCCTTACCCTGATCCAATACACTAAACCAAGCGTTACCACCTAAACTATCGAGAGTTTCTTGGACGCGCGGAATAGGATGCCTATCTGGCACTGTCTTACGGTTAAGTTCTCTATAATCGACACAAAGTCGCAGAGTTCCATCCTTTTTGCGAATACATACTACTGGGGATGAATAAGCTGATTTTGACTCTCTTATAAACTCGTTATTTAACAAATCTTCAATGTACTGTTTTACTTCGGGGTAGAGAGGTCTTGGTACCGATACATAGTTCTTTTGCACTGGCTCGTTTGTTGTCAAATTTATTTCTAGTTCTAGATCTTTGATATAACCGATATCCTCATCATTTCTTGCAAAAGAGTGACATTCGTCCTTCAACATGTTAGTAACTACTTGACGTTGACGTTCTGTTAATCCACTAAGGTCAACTTCAGGTAAAACCTGGTCATCATTTGTATTGTCTCTTTCTCGAGTTTCTTTCGCCATTGCATTCACTTGGGATTGTGTGGCTGTTACTGTTCGTTCTTTCTCTTTGCTTGACTTTTCTGCCAACTTCACTTCTACAGGTGTAATCGATTTAATTAACTGAAGACTTCCTAATACTGTGTGTTTACGCACGACAATGTCATGATTAGTTGTATTAGTCACATCTATCTTTACTTGAGACGTTGAGCCTTGTTTCACTGTTGTTACCGTTTCATGCACCGATAAACCGTCTGGCCAGGGCGTTAATTCGTCCGGTTCAAACAATACAAGTGTAGTTTCTTCTACCGGTCCAGTATTCGCTCGACAGTTAACTTTAAATGTTTTCTTTGCCGGAATAACAAAGTCTTTCTTTGGGCTCTTAATCGTGCATAGTTCATTTGCTCTTGCTGTCTGTATCAGTCTAACCAATTCGAGTAACACTTTCTCATCAAAACCTTGAAAACTAGCTTGTACTGTAGCAATATGTGCTGACTGAATATCAGATGTATTCATCGGCTTGATTAGTTCTTCAATAGCATTGTATCCAAGAATGGGATATTCTAAACTGTCGTTTGTTACTAAGAAAGGAACCATAACCGATGGATCCTTTTCTTTTGATGAAATCAATC